TATCTTTTGACTTGCGATATTATCTCAATCAATTCTGTAAAACCTCTAGGCATAATTTCGATTCGTGGTGTTATCTCGATCGATTTCTTATCTTTCGACTCGCGATGTTATCCCAGTCGATTCTGTAAGACCTCCGGGCATAATTTTGATTCGTGGTGTTATCCTAATCGATTCTTTATATTTCAACTTGCGGTGTTATCCTAGTCAATTCTGTAAAACCTCCGAGCATGATTTTTAAGATCTTCAGGTGGTGTTATCCCGATCGATTCTTGATCTTTTGACTTGCAATGTTATCCCAATCAAATCTATAAGACCTACAAGCATGATTTTTAAGACCTCCGGGCATAAATTCGATTCAGGGTGTTGTCCCGATTGATTCTTGATTTTTTAACTTATGGTGTTGTCCCAATCAATTTTGTAAGACCTCTGGGCATAAATTCGATTCGTGGTGTTATTTCGATCGATTCATTAGTTTTCGACTTGCGATGTCATCCCAATTATTTTGTGTTTTTTTTTAAAAAATCACGATTTGCTTCTGGACAAATCATTGTCTTTGTCTTTGTCCTATCCTGATTCTCAGCAATGTACAAAGAAGGACAGCTGTAGACATCGATTTTATCCGGATCTACTATTAAAATTAATAATAATAATAATAATAAATAAATTTTTTTAAAAAATAATTATTAATTATTAAAATAAAAAAAAGAAAGAGAAAATAGAAAATAGAAAAAAAAATAGAAAGTAGGGTGGCTGGTGTACGGTGCTGCTGTCACCCCCGACCAACCCACTAACTAGCCTACTGTCCAGCCACCAGACCAAACAGCCACCCTACTACGCTACGACCACCATCTATCCCCTTATTTGAAGCTCTTTAAAACCCACAGCCTCTTTCCCTTCAACCTCTTTCTCGGACAACCCCTCTCGAAAACCTTCAAACAGATCTTCGAAACCTCTAAACATACTGCCCACAACACCCTTTCGGACACCCAGACACACAAAAAAAAAACCCTTCAACCCACACCAACCATGAAAATAGAAACACAAAAACAGAAACAAAAAAAAGACAAACAGTCTTCCCCGTAGGGAGGAACCTCAGCGCCGAGCTCCCTGCAAAAACAAAGAAAATAGATCAGTTTTAGTCTAAAAAAAAAGAAAGGCAGAAAACTTCAAGCCCTGATTTACGACGATCAAGGCCGTTTTTGGCGAAAAGAAAGCCAGATCTGAAAAAAGGGAGTTGAAAAGAGCTGCCAAAATAATTTTTACATTTTTTGGCGATCGAAACCGTTGGCAGCGACCACAAGCGGTGACTCATGTGGCTGTCGGCACGGTGGTCCGGTGACCAGACGGTAAAAGCCCAGAGCTCTCTTTTTTTTTTTTTTCTGAAATAGGAGAAGAATGACCAAAAAATTTTTTTTGGTTTTATATAGAAGGCTACAGTCTAAAACGACGTCATTTCGGCCAAGGAAGATCCGCGCATTGATCTGGATCTGACCCGGGATCCATGCAACCCGACCCATTGACCCGCTCTTTCAATAGTTGCTAACCGATCCAATTGAACCAGTTTGAACCGGATCGAACCATAGACTTCCACCCGAACCGCAGATTAAACCGTCAAACAGATTTAGACGGGACAGTCCGGTTCAGGTAAAATAAAATTTTTTTCTTTTTTAAATTTTATTTTCTAAATTTTTTATATATTATTATTTTTGTTATTTTAAGTATATTTTTTATATTTATGCATGATAAGTTCTTAAATTTGTTATGATAAATGTTTAATTATTTTAATAATAATAAAATTGAAAACAAGTAATAATTAAAAATATATATTAAAAATACTTTAAAAAATAATTATTTTTTATTATTTTTCCTGCCTAGATGTTGGTGGGAATAAAAACATTTTTCTAAAAATAATTCTGCCTAGATGTTAGAGAATTATTATTAATAAATTTTCATAAAAAAAGATATATGAGAAATTATTGATTAAATTTTAAAAATCACTAAAATCGAACTTGGTCCGAAAATCCGCCTAAATGTTAGAGATTTTTAGAGATGTTCATATTTTCTTAAAAACGAAACCTCAATTTTTAAAACCAAAACCATAGGTTTCTAAAACTCCTAAAATCCAAAATCCTAAAATCTGAAACCCTAAAAATCTAAAATCCCCTAAATCCAAACGACTAAAATCCAAAACCCCTAAAATCCAAACCCCAAAATTCAAAATCCCTAAAATCCAAACCCTTAAATAAAAACCCCAAACCCTAAAATCTCCAAACTCTAAAATCAAAACCCTAAACTTCTATATCCTAAAATTCAAGCCTTAAAACCCTCTGAACCTTAAAACCCTCTGAACCTTAAAACCAAACCTTCAAAACCTCTACTCAAGCCCTTACTCAAAACCTCCTAAAAATTCTAAGGACACGTGTGAAAATTCCATTTGAAGCAATTTGTTCTCGAATGCCACCTAGATGATAGGGTATTTAGGAAATTTTACTTCGTTAAGTCTTTTCACACGATTTCTTAATCGCATTAATAATAAGATTAATAAATAAAAGGTATAACAGTAAATTGGGATCTTAAATATAAACAATCGCACCTAAGCTCTGCCTAGATGTTGGAGAGTTGTGGTGGTCTCATTATACTTAAGAATCTAAATTTTAAATTGCATTTCATTTTATATGACATTCATTAGCATACATACGTTAGCATGTTATTATCAGTAATTATTTGCACTATTCTATCTTTAATTTTTATTTACTACTTGGTGATAAAATATTTTATAATAAAAAAGAATAATACCTTTTTAAAAAAAATTATGATATTACAAAATAAAATAAAAGTAACATTCCGAAAGAAATAATTCCTGGTACTCTGCTTAGATGTTGAAGAGTCACCAACAATTTTCTATAAAGATTGTTATTTCATTTTAAGGATTGTTGTGTTAAATCTTAAGCCAAAAGAGTTATTTTAAATTATGCCTAGATGTTGGAGAATTTTAAGATAATTCTTTAACTTAAAGATTTTCTCAATATTTCTAAATAAAAATTTTAGCAAAAATATTTTTTAAAATGAAGGGAATTAGTATTAAATTTCAAGTCAAAACTACTTTTATCCAACACCGAAAATAGCGCATAATTAAATGGTACCAATTTATGGGCATTGTGGGAGTGCTAATCCTTCTCCACACGCAACCAACTCTCGGACCCAACCTGATTTTTCGTAGACCAAAATTTATCTTTTTGATAAACTTTAAACCCGTTTTTATAGTTTTATTAAAAAGATAAACTTTTGGGTGGCCAATCACACCCTAACAAAGATTGGTGGCGACTTCCTTTTATTTTTCTCGATTTTAAAACACTTTACGTCTGACGGTCCCAAAACCTTTACGACAACCTCACAGTCCTCTTCACACCCTTCAATAAAAAGTTGATACAACTATGACTTCATACATTTATGACCAATTGAATACTTGGCTCTACTCTAATAGCAAAGCCTCTTTTTTCTCATTTCCTCCATTTTAGCTAAAGTAAGCCTTTTAGTAATGGTCTTAAAGCTATTAGTGCTACTATTAAGGAACTTGGGTTGATTGGTTTGCTAGCTGGAATTTTTAGTATTGTTGAAGTTCAATAAGTTGGAGTTAGGTGAAACCTTTGGTGTTGGCAATAAGAGAGGTATGGTACTATTTTTAGTGGAAACAATACTAGTAGAATGGTAAGAGGATGAAAAAGATGATTTAAAGAATGAAGTGGTTCATTTCAAGTTGGGTTGGATGATAGTCTTAATATGTTTGGCTAAATGTGAAGCTTGGTTTAAAGTTGTGGATCTAAACAACCTAATAGATTAGGATATATCTGGTTTTAAATTACTAATGAACAATACTCAAGACATAGTTACTAATGAAAAACACTCAAGACATAGGAATCAGATAGCTGCATCTAAGAATGCCAATAAAATCTTCATAAAATTATTTAACATAAATGGTTTGTTTAAGTTCTATGAATTCGGCCATAGGATCCTAATACTTTTCATATACAAATTCATCTTTCATATCTTTGATATACCCTACCCAGTTCAAATTTTCAAACCCCTTTTGAGACCTAGTATAGTATTAGGGTCACCATAGAGTTTTTCCCTCCAGGTTCAACATTACTTGCCTTACCTTACTATTTATAGGTACTTTTTCAACTTCAAAATACTGTTCTAACTTCATAAACCAACCCTTAAAGTCCTCATCATTAAACTTAGGATAATCCCTTTAAAGATTCTAGATGAATAAAAAATGATGTACCTATTTTGGGTTGTTGTTAGGAGATTGTTAAAAAACACCTCAACCACAAGGGACTTGTCCACTTCATGATTGAGGTTGTTTCTTTTCCTAGCCTTTTCTATAGTGTGCTCACCGAAGCTTGGTCACCCTCAAATGCACTTGATATTGAGTTCTTTTCCCTAGTAGTCATCATCTCTAAAAACTATTTAAGCTTAAACCTCATTTCTGTAAACTATATATCCATCTTGAAATCAAACTGATCAATCTTGGAATCTGTTGCTACATCTTGCTAAGTTTGTTGAATCTGCTTTTGAAGTAGAATAGAAATTCCATCAGCCATTGGTGACAAGTCATGGCTCTAATACCAAATGATGCAAACTGACTTTAAATGTAGAGCTAGATAGTTATCTTAGAAAAAGAAAATTTAAAGAAGGAAGAAGAACACAAAATGTTTAGGAGAAAGAAAAAGATAATTCTATTCCAATGATTCATACTATACATCCCTCCTCTTTTTAGTGCTGTAAGCTAACAACCTTCAATTGAATCCAAGAATCTCGGATGCCAATGCTACATTCTCTCTCTCCCTTCATAACATTAATATAAACACTCATAAGGAAATTGAGTTCTATTAAACACAGACATTACAGAAACTAAAAGAAGTCCAATAAAATAGGTCCAACAACAATAGTAAATAAAACCAACTGTAGTCCAATCTTTTAAGCCCGCAATGTTGAGTTTAAATCGTTTGATGTTCCGGCAATTTAAGGATTGGGCCATCTTGAGCTTTAATCATTTCGTATTCACTTTTGGTTTAAAGCATTTCAAGTTTAAATAATTTAGTTTCAAATCATTTTGAATTTAGGTTGGTTTGTTTCATGTTCATACAATTTTAAGTTTGAACCGTATGGAGTTTCAATCATTTCAGATTGAGTCTATTTTGGGTTTGATCAATCTCCGGTTAATTACAATTAGGTCTTCTTTTTAAGGGTTTCTAATAGGATATGTTGATGAGTTCGGTATTATTGCAGGTTGGGGAAAACTATGGGTTCATATCTCTTTAAGATTCGGTTGCTTCGAGTTTTTCAACTACTGATGCTCAGAATGGTGGCGGCCAACTGTGAATCCGACCTCCATAGATGAGGGTACTGTCAACATTCGTAGAATTAATACTGCTACTGGTGAGGCAGAAAGGGCGTTTTACTACTAAAGAAAAAAAAAAAGGTGGCAACTTTTTCTGTTTCGCCAACAACTGCTGCAAAATAGCTATGTATCTAAAATCCCCATCCGGTACCACCTAAATTAAGCAGGTCTATAGCAATATTCCACAATCATTACTAAAACAGTAATAATCCTTAAAGAACACATTGTTCAACGGGGGGACAGGCCGACAGGGAAAGAGAGGAAACTGCTAACATCCGCAATACCAACATTGCAGGTCGTCTGGCTTCTTATTCAACTAAAACAAGCAGTTTAGAGAAGTTCACATTTCATACTAGAAAGCACAGCACAACAGGCACAGTCTCACAATTCATGTCCAAGTAGGTGTGACAGGCCACAGAAACACTAGTAATTCTAACATTCATAAATAATTAAAAGCTCAGCTCACAATTTCAACAGGCTCAAAACCTTTCTCAATGGATGCGTTGACAGCATCCACAACCAATTGTGTCTTCCTACTGATTGTCGGCCACTTATTATCTGGCTGAGCACCATTTTTTTTAATATTTTCAACCAAGCCAGCAAACTCTCTCACCATGCAGGCTTCCTGAGGTAGGTCTACGATGACAGTGTGTTCACTTGGAATCGGCACCCATCCTGTTCCAAGCTCATTATATCGAACTTTTGAGGATGTAGTATAAGAGGCCTCATGCTCTTGGTAAGGAATGATAAAATCTGTGAGATGCAAAGTTCCAAATGTTCCTATAGCAGTGATATTCATTGTCAGATTTGATAAGAAAGAGCAATTGAAGGTTGCAGTTTTGCCATCTTCCCAGTGTATTGAAGCCCCACAATCAAGTATTAACCCTTCTTCATTGACAACAGGACCTCGCAAGGCTGTAACGGTCTTGGGCAGCTCATAGTCAGCTGCCCACAGGATTGACCTGATGCCATACCATCCAGCATCACCAAGAGCACCAAGAGTGTCAAGATCTGGCTTCACACGAATGTTATTCTTGAAAAACTCCGGAGGGGCAAAATATGTGAAGCAGCTATGTACCTGAGGAAGCCAAAGGTTTTTAATCAATATTGTCATTCTCAGTTAAAATTACACAGCTTAAGAAAAATACTTGTATTGTTATTTTAAAACAAGTACTTATTAAAATTTAATTTGAGAAAAATTTGTAATCAATCCAATTTATCCTTCTTGAACTATTTATCTATATTTGAGCTAACAAATAAAAACTTAAAAAAATCCTCAGCAACTATATTTTAGGTGTTGTGTCTTTGGGCCATTATTTTAAGCTCCGTTTCATATCAAAATATCAATGCCACTCATTTGCTTTATCCTTTATAAAACCCTTTCTTCGAATCCCAAATAAGCTTATGTCCGGTGGCCATAAAAACTTGATCTGTGTTCGTATCATTGTTGATAATGAACTTTTTTTTTTTTACTAAGCCAAAATAAAATTTTATTAAAAGTAACAAAATGACTACAAATATCCGAATACAATAAAGCACAGATAGAATAGAGGCCCCAAAGAAAATATATTAACACCATATGAGAAATCCAAGAGTAGTGTAATTATCAACAATTCCAACAGTCACAGATAGGTCAACAGTAAAAAAATAGATTTAGAAAGCCGTAAATACAAAAGAATTCAACTAAGCACCCGTCAAAAAGATTCTGAGCTAATTCCTTCATCAAGTCAACATCCAATATGAACATTCATATTTATAGACCATTAGTTGTATTTGTTTTCTTTCCCTTCAGCTGCAACCCACAAGATTTAAGATTTTCCATTCTAAACAAATATTCATGTCCTAGCTAATTATCTTTTTTTGTTTTTTCATCCAACTAAGAAGCAAAATTACAAAGACTTTCAAATTCTTATCTAAGGCGAGACCAAAGCACTCTGTTTAGTCTCCTTGATATTTGGCATGAGATTCTCCCCACTCAATTTTCTTTATGACGTCTTTGTCACAGCAAACATACTCTACCTACTTCCCTAAAACACTTGGTGTGGTCTGACCCACCCTACCTACCCTCGCTGAAATGCTTGGTGCCCGCATACCCTACTAGGGCACTTGATGTGGCCACTTGCCACATGATCATTATCCTATTCTTGTAAATTTGGCTTATTGGAATGTACACATTTATATGTTCAAAGACTTCTCCTTTCTTATTCGAAGTGAGATTAAAACACCGTATCCTCTTCTTTTGAAGCGTTTGATCTGACACAAAACCTCTCCAAGCATCTTACATTACTCTATGGGGTTTAATGCTCGTCTAATAAGCCTCGGTCTTGGTTCTAAATTGACAACTTAACAACCAACAAAAGCTTTTGCCAAACCAATAAATGAATCATGGTCCAACAAGGTAGCACGAATGCCTCATGTTTTAACAATAAACAAGCCATAAGCATCGGCTGAAGAGGTTCAGAAAAGCACTAGGTTCTGGATTAACAGGAATAAACGATAACTCCATCACCCAAACACAGACAGTCTTAATACATTGCAGTCAAATTAGGTGAAGGGCACTAAATATAATACCTGAGTAAAGCAAGTTGCTCATTTCTAAAAACATTAAGTACCGCATACAAAGACGCAAACATTTATCAATTTTAAGAAGTTGACAACATTCCATTGCCTAATTTATTACAAATATCAGGCAATTACTAAAAGGCATCATAACTCTAGCTCAGAATAATATTTATAAAAACAAAAATAAAATAAAATAAAAATCAATAATATTCTAATCTTTTTAAAAACATAATGTTTTCTACCTTATTGAATTGACCCACTTAACTTTTGAAATTGAATAATATATATAATATAGTCTATAACTCTTTATTAAAAGAATTTCAAAGGTATTAGAGACTGACAGTTGTCCAAACGGATAAGGAAGAAATTTGTAAAATTTTTAAGATGGCATTTAGTTCTTGGAATCTTAGATCCCCTTTGAGAATATGATTTCAGAGGAAATTACTTTATTAGATAGATTCTGAAAATGAATGATTCTTGCATTTGGTAAGAAATGTAATATTATTTAATAAAGTTTGGTTATATATTATCTTCAATGTCATGTGAATAACACATGATATATAATTATATTTAAATTATTTATTTATTTAACATGTAAATAGTTTATTTAACATGATAATTTATATTTTTTTAAAAATTATTAAAAATTTAAAAACACTAAAATTATCTATATATAAAATAATCCTTTTGTAAATAAATATTTGAATCTATATTCTATTCAATTGCATGGAATCTAATTACTATCATAACATTACATGCCTCAATGCAAAGCCAACATACGATTCTATCTTCGTGATAAGATCGATGTGGAAGTTGGAAGGAATATGGTAAACCTCCTCTGAGGGTTTCCGAAGACAAAGCTCCCAAAATAAATTTTATGTATAGTATATTTTAAATTGTATTGTACATATAATATATTTAAAATGTAAATTATTTATTTATTTAATATGTAAATTATGTAAATATATTATAATTATTTTCATAATATATTTTTATAATAGACAACATTTGTTGTCTTAAAACGTAGTCCATGTTTGTGATCCTAAAATTATTTAAGAAGCTTTTTGAAAAATAAATTTTTTCATAATATATTTTAACAATGATTACGTTTTTAATCATAGAAAATAATCTATTGTTGAAACTGAAAAATTCCCAAAAATAATCTTTTATAATATATTTTCAACAAAAACTACATTTTTAATAAAAAACTTGTTTTTGTTAAAATTATAGAATTTTAAAAAATAAATTTCTTTTATAATATAATTTTAACAAAAACCATGTTCTTAATCATAAAAACATTGTAAACAATAAAATTCTAAAATATAAAATTTTTTTCATTATACATTTTCAACAAAAATCATACTCCTTAAAATATATATTTTTTATAATATATTTCAATAAAAGTCACATTTTTAATCTTAAAAACATTATTTTTGTTAAAACTATAGAATACTCATAATGTCAACAAAATTCACGTTTTTAAACTTAAAAATATTATCTTTATTGAAATTATAAAATTATTGTTTTTGTTGAAATTATAGAATGTTGAAAAAAAATCAAAATTTTGTACTTTCAACATAAATTTCATTTTTATCTTAAAAACATAATATTTCTTAAAATTATGAAATTTAAAAATTAAATTTTTAATTAATTGAAAACAAAATTTTAATTATATAAAATTCAATTAATATCTATTTTTGAGGAGAGTTTTATATTTTTTATAAAAATAAAAACATGGAGGTAAGGAAAAGAGAAGAAATAAAAATTAAAAGAATTATGCAAATAAATTTTTTATTTGTATCAAATGTTTTATAGATTTGCGATAACAATCTTTAAAAACAAGCTTTAAATTTATTATGTATAGGAATTGTCTTTTTCCATTTAAAATTTTGATCTTATGATCTTATGTATTTATTATAATTTGTATTATAAGTTAATTTGCCAATGTTGCAAGTATTGAATATATGCATATTTTAGTTTAAAAAAGTGATATATTAAATTAAGTTTGTGATTGTGGAATATTTAATTTTATTTATTAATTAAATAAAAACGAGTTTTAATCATTAAAAAGTGTTATTGTATTAACATAAAACAAGTTATTGCATATATATAAATAATATTTTAGTTACTCAATTTATATTTATTAAAATAAAAATAAATATTCATAAATAAAAAATATATATCTAAACGAAACTCGAGACACATTCTATTTAGTATAAAAATAATGTTTTTCCTATTTTTGACATCATTAAAATTTATTTAAATTTGTTATGAAATCATAAAAAAATAAATTTTCATTTTCATTTTTACATTTATTTAATTTGGGAATTCTAATACTAATTTTCTTTCACTACAAGTCTAAGTTTAATTTGTGAGTTAAAAAAATTATTCGACATGCATTTCTATTGTTTTTTTTAATTAATCTCATTTTATCTTTATATTAATTTTAGTTTGTTACTGTTTTTTGTTGAAATTCTCTTTTTTTTTCCTTTCATTTTATTGTCATCACACCTTTGCCAACTATCATTTATCCCTTAATTATCTCCGATATACATATTATAATATGAGTTTGATTCTAATTTTGTAATTGATTAAATTATTTTAATTAATATCATATGTAATCAGTTATATGACACACAAATGTAATTTCATTATAAAAAGAAATTTTTTATTGTATCCATCTATTTATTCTGGATTTTTTTAAAGATTATGATTGGCATTAGAAACAAATAAAAAACTAGCCACACCAAATGAATTATTGAGATAAAGTTTCATTATAATCATTATAGAAAAATATTATTTAATTAAAATTATATTATATTGTGAAAATATTTTTTATATTTAATTTTCTTTGTATTAAGCAACAAAATATTATAAAATTCCATAATAAAAGAAAAAAAAATTGAACCGAAATCCGGTAAAATATTTACCGTTTTAAGCTGACCAAACCGCTCCTTATCGTCTAAAAACTCCTTCATTTTCTGGGTCCTGGGATGATGCATCCACATGGTCCCATCCATAATCTGAACCCCATTTTCATCACATGCCTTTAGAATCTGATCAAACTCAGCCAAGTTCACTGCCACGGGCTTCTCCAATAGCAGATGCTTCTTTTTCTGAGCAGTCAATACGGCCCATTTCAGGTGGAGACTAGTGGGTAGGGGCAAATAAACCGCGTCGACGTCGGGGTCGTCTAAAAGGGATTCGTAGGAGCCGTAGACCTTGGCTTCAGGTGGGAACCCATTGGCCTTGGCGAAATTGGCCGCTTTGTCGATGGAGCGGCTGGCGATGGCGGAGAGAGTAGCGTTAGGAGCTAGTAGGATAGCTCGTGAGACTCTGCGGGCTATCTCAGCGCAGCCAATGATGCCAAATCTGATTGGAGTATCAGCCATCTTTTAGTGTGGTGGCAGTGCTTTGGTGATGCTTCTCTTATGAAATTAGAAGATAAAGAGAGAATAATAGTGAGAAAGAAAAGAGTAAAGAGAGAGAATAAAATATGCTTTTCAAACAACCAATTGCATAAGAGGATAAACGGCACTCTTATTTTTACAATTTTATAATGTCTCTACTAGCAGTACCGAAATCTCAGACTATTCCTTACACTTCAGACGCACACCGAAAGTTAGGCTAAATAAATTTATCATCTGTCCACTTAAATTGGCCTAAGTCCGAGAACATTGGCTTTACAATATTTTAAATGCCATTATTGTTCAGCCTGCATCGATCCTCCCCAACAAAAAGATTCTTGTCCTGGAAGATTAAAGGTAGTATACTTCTTTATAAATTCATATAAAACCTCCATTGTTGCATCCTCAGAGGAGGAGTTTGTTCATTGCTCTAAAACCTCAAAGACTGCTTTGTCATCCTTGTTAACCATCCTCCTGTCAATAAGGTTTTATGGTTCTTTAACAATTGTTCCATCCTCTCGCACAACAGCCGCTAACGTTTATTTTAGATCCATTTGGATAGAATAGTGAAATTGATTTTAGGGATATTAAAAATAGTCGTAAAAATAAAAATAATTACTATAATAATAAAATTAAATAAGTAGTGTGAATACATGTTTAAATGTAAATGTAATGATGACGATGAAATTAATTATAATGAGAATATAAATGATCATTAAAAATAATAGATTAAAATTTGTATCTAATAATAAAATTTTAAATTATTTAATATTTACAAATTTTATTTAAATTATTAGTTATATTAAGTTAATAAAAATATTTTATAATTTTTAAATTAAAGATCAAAATGAAAACAAAAATAGCATTGGTTCAAATGGTATTAAAATATGGTTTAAAGAGCAAAATAAAAAAAAAAAAAACAAAAAACCAAAAACCAAAAACCAAAACCCACGTCGCACCTATTTGATAAAAAATAGCCAATCAATTATTTGCCCTCATAGCATGTGTTGGCCACCTATTTGGCTGTCTTATGAAAGGTGGGCGTGGAAAAGGATGATAACCACCCTTACCAAGAGTCTAGTTCATCCAAACGAAACCTTAGACAATTGATTTTGGAAAGCACCGATAAATGTTCCCATTTAGTGATGTTTATCCTAGAAAACACCGTTAAATTTATAAAAATTTCATTCCTGAATTTCATATCAAAGCATTTAAGAAACATCACTTAATATTAAAAAAAAAATCTTAATTTTAACAGTGTTTTCCCAAAAATGCCGCTTGACAATAAAAAAAAAAACCACTACAAGTCTAATTTCTCATAAGATATGTAGCTAAATTTCCAACATTCTTTTTTAATTGAGACATATGAGTTGTAGATATACGATAGATCTAATGGGTAATTGTAACTTGTATGCCACTTTTCCCTCTTGTTTTAATATTTTAAAAAGATCTAAAAAATTAAAAGCTAGTTTGACACGATTCTTGCTCATAACTTATTGCTATCAATATGGCTAGAGTTTGACATAAGCCAAATCTCCCACTCAAACTCCTTATCACTTCTTATCTTGTTATCCATGTTTTCATCTTCTTTAAGGCTTGTGTAATAAAACTTCAGCTTTTGTATAGCATCTTCTCTAACTTGTAAGCTCATGTCTATCATTCCTACCAAAAAGTCTCTTACCAATGCCAAGCAAGGCAAATGCAAGAGAGGTGGTTGTCCATACACCACCTTATATGGGGTAATGTTGACAGCAAAATGATAATTAGTGTCGTACCATCATTCTGTTAATGGTAACCATTTGCACCATTCCCTTGGTGTTTCACTCATTTTGTATCTGAAATAGGTTTCTGAACATCAATTAACCATTTTTATTTGCCTATTCAATTCAATTAAGGATGGTGGGTAATAGGGATGTTTAGAAAAATTCCATACTTTTTTAAAAGCTCATGCCAAAACCCATGCATAAAAATCTTATCAATTTAACAAACAATAGAGTTAGGCATTCAATGTAGCTTGAATATTAGATCCATGAATACTTATGCCACTATCAAAGCTATAAGAGTATGAGAAATTATGACAAAGTAGCATACTTACTCAATTTGTAGACAAAATAAGCATACTTGTGCCACTATCAAAGCTGTGAAATGATGAGAAATTGCTACAAAGAAGCATACTTGCTCTCTTATGGCTACCTCTCACTCTCTTACTTTTAGGAGACTAACTAGAAACCCAAGTTGTCTGAACCACCGAAAATCACCACCTATTCTTCCTTCATTAGCCACTACTCGACCTCAATCTAGCCTTCTTTTTTTTCTTTCTTCCCACTTTTTGCTAGCAAAATATCTTACAAGAAAAACTTTAAAGCCTCTAACCATTTTTATTACCACCGATCCTAGCATTATTCACTGTCTGACCACCACATGCTTTTCTTTCCTTTCTTTCCTTCACTAATTTGAAATTGCCTAAAACACTCAAATAAAAAATACCAAAACTTTTTTTTGTTTTTGTCAATTTTTTTTCTTTTGTGGTTTTTTTTAAAGGAATTGTGTTCGAATTGTTGAAAATTTTATGTTTTGTTGGTTATGTGTATTGGTTTCTAATGATAATTTAGCTTACTAGGTTTATCTTGTGTATTACAGTGATTGCCTATGTTTGATTGTGTACTCAGTTTATTGTTTCTAGGTTATAGCTATCTCGCTAGTTGTGGGTTGTTCACTTGTTCTTATTTCTAGGTTACTTTTATAGATGTCAACAAATGGGTTTGGGGGTAGAACATTCCCTACTCCCATCCTTGAAATTTAAATTTGTCTATATCCTTGTCCCCATTCTCGAATTTGTAACTTAACTCAGCCCTATCTCTTCAAGAACTAATGGGTATGAGTAATCCTATACCATAAATTTTAAAAAAACATTAAAAATAAACATTTTAATATTTTTTAAACTAAGTAAAACTTAACCATTTCACATGTGAAACAAAAATAAATATTTATAAACACTAATGCATATACAAAGTAAATCACAAATATCACAAAACAAAATCATAAAAAAAACTTTAGCAAAAATAATATTTTAAATGATATATCTTAAAAATTTTGAGAATTTCACTTGATGGACACATAAATTCATCATAAAATAAAGCCCATTCAAAATTAAATAAAAGAAACACTTATCATTAGTAAAATAACACTTATCAATAATGTTAAACAGTTAACATAAACTAAATGCATAAAATTTTTTTTATCAATGTGTCTATAATATATACCTATTGTATCTCTTCTTCACTTTCAACATCATCATGAACAAAGCCATAATATGCATTATTTTCTTTTAAAGATCTGACTAAAAAAAATCATTTAAAGTTATACATTAAATTATAATGTAATAAAATCACTAATTTTTTTTATTAAATCCATTACCTTATAGATCTTTCAACAACCACTTTTGAACACACATTAGTACTTCTAAAGTATTTACATGAAGCCTATTGTGATGAGAACTCACCAATTTACCGCTACTACTGAAGGTAGATTATGAAGGTACATTGAAAACTGGAATAGCCAAGATATCCCTAACAATTCTTTGTAAAGTTGGGTTATAGAGTCCACCACTTTTCCACCAAGCTAATATATTAAAATCTAGAGTTCTTGGCAAAACTTTATCTTTCAAATAATGATCTAACTCAGATTTAGTCAATGAATCATTGTCATAATAGTTTTGGAACTGTCAGGCATAAAAAATTTTAAAATTGAGAAAAAATAAGGGAATTACTACCAATCTTTTTTAGGGTATGATTGGTCATTCAAAAGTTTACCTTTTTAATAAAACTATAAAAGAAAGTTTAAAGTTTATCAAAAAGATGGAAAAAGATTAGCAACCCACAACGCCCATACATTGATACCACTTAATCATGCATTACTTTCGATGTTGGATGAAATGGTTTTGATTTGAAATTTAATACTAATTCCCTTCATTTAAAAATTTTTTTTGCTAAAATTCTTTATTTAGAAATATTAAGGAAATCTTTAAGTTAAATAATTATCTTAAAATTCTCCAACATCTAGGCAGAATTTAAAAAAATTCTTTTCGCTTAAGATTTAACACAATATTCCTTTAAAATGAAAATAACACTCTTTGTAAAATATGATTGTTGGTGACTTTCTAACATATAGGCAGAGTATCAAGAATTATTTCCTTCGAAATGTTATTTTTGTTTTATTTTATAATATCATAATTTTAAAATACGTGTTTTTTTTTGTTTTGTAAAACACTTTATATGAGAAAGTAAATGATGGTATTATCAGGTAGCAAGTAAAAATTAAAGATAAAGAAATGCAAAATGAGTGCCAACAATAATATGATGACATATGTATGTCGCTAAATGTTATGCAATGTGATGAAATGAAATTTAAAAATGGACTCTTAAATATAATAAGACCACATTGACTCTCCAACATCTAAATAGAGCTTAGATACGATTATTTCTATTTAAAATCTCATTTTATTATTATTTTTAGTAAAGCTTATGATCTTATTGTTGAAGCGAATTAAGGACTCCCATGAAAATTAATGGAATAAAGTTTTAAATACCCTATCATCTAGCAGCATTCGAAAATAAATTACTCCACTTGAGATTTTTGCACGTATCCTTAGAGTTTTAGAATGATCTTGAGCATAGATTTAGGGTTTTAGAGGGTTTAAAAGTTTTAAATTTTTTGAGGTTTAGGGTTTTAGGCTTTTAATTTGAGGGTTTAAGGTTTTAGGGTTTTGATTTTAGGGTTTTCAGTTTTTAGGGTTTTTATTTTAGGATTTTGATTTTATGGTTTAAAAGGTTTAGGGTTTTAGTATTTTGATTTGGAGGTTTAAGGTTTTAGTTTTAGGGTTTAGGGTTTGATTTAGGGTTTTGATTTTAGAGTTTGGGATTTAAGGTTTTGATTTAAGGTTTAAAATGTTTAAGATTTTGATTTTAGGGTTTAAAGGGTTTAAGGTTTTAGTTTTAGTGTTTGGAGGGTTTTGAATTTTAAAAACACAACATATCTAAAAATTTCCAACATCTAATGGACTTTCAAAGCAAGTTTGGTTTTTATGATTTTCAAAACTTAATTTTAAAAAAATCTTATATATATATTTTTTATAACAAATTAGTATTAATAATATTATTAA